GGGGTTCGGAGATGATCTCCATCTGACTGAGCTTGATCGATTTTGGAAAGAGAAATGGGCAACAATTTCAGCCAATAGATGTACAGAGCTGGTAGAGATGTACTCTTGCAGCTGTAATTGCAGCAATATTAGATTTTTGCCTTTTATTTAAATCAATTTACGCTGTCTGATGTTAATAAAGCAGCAAGAAACATGAAAAGTTTTTTAATTGATGAAATATTTGAAACCCCTTTTATTCCCTTTCACTTCACGATAAGGTAAAACTAAATGAAACAATTAAAAAAAAAAACAAGATGTGACCATTTGAAAAGTATGGCTATGTTTGGCAAGACGTTCATTTTAAATGATGTCATGTAACGGGTGTAACAAAAATCTGATATAGCTGTGTCTGGTTGGCAGGCTTTTAATTCAAACAGAAGGAAATTGAAGTGGGAAGTATGAAGAGGTTCTGTTAAAAAGGAGGAGGTGGAAACGATAAAAAGAATAATAGCTCTTGGTTTGTGTTTTGGTTCTTCGCATTCATGATATGTGCGCCCATGAAGGGAGGATGCTTTGAAGTGTACGCAGATCCTCCAAGCTGCAAGAAGAGAATTAGGCTGTTGGTTGAAAGCTCTTGTCTCTTTTATTTCCAGCCTTCCCTTACCTGCTTCCCTTCCTGCTCTTAATTATTTAGTCTGTCCTGCCTCTTCTTTGGTCTGTGCTGCCTCAACGATGAAGAGAAGGAGATGGAGGGGGCGCCAGGGGGAGGTGAGGGTAGATGTAGTGCAGCTCTGTTGCTTAGCAGTAGAGTATCACTGTGATCACCCCACCACCACCATTACCTCTCTCAGACCCCCCCTCCCCTCCAGCTTTATTTGCTTCTCCATCCCTGTGTATGCATGCTGCGAGTGTGCATGTGTGTGTGATGATTGAATAGGCTGTGACACTACAGCTGTATTAAGTGTGGTTCTGTTCCCCAGGCTGAGTGGGCTGCTATTGATTGGCCTAGTCTTGTAGGGGAGAGTAATGGCTCTCCGAGGTGAGGCGGGGGGATTAGGCCACTAATTGCTATTGTGCAGACGAGATATGACTGCCCCCACCCCACCCGTCTACCACTCACCCATCTGCACCCCTTATCTCTTCTTTCCTCTCTGCTCTATCTCTTATCTCACTCTTCTTTTTTCTAATCTCTTCCCGTCTCTTATAATTTTCCTTTTTCTTGTCTTTTCGCACGTCACCAGCATTTCTTCATTACACTTTTTTTTTTTTCATGTTGTCCTCTGCCAGTCTCGCCACCCAGCCACTACTGCAAAGACATTTTAATTTTTTTTTTTTTTAAACGGCCCTCGATGCCATCATGAATCCATTCTAATATGTAGTGCTTTTATTGTGAATAAGGAGCGTAAAATCCTCCTGTGTCTTAACACCAACTACCGTGAGCTGAAGTTGTCTGATATTATGGTTATGTTGCCATAGAAACCAAAGCAGGGAAGAAATTTGGATAGGAGGCAGACCTGGAACTGGCCTGGGGTTTCTCTTGGTTATAGATGTAAAGTAAAAGTGCGCTGTTACACAAAATCGTGCTACTGGCTCACCAAAGCACTCGTCTCTCATCGTCCTTTTGGCATCACCATTGCACCAAGACGGTTGTGACCCAGTTTGACTGGCAATGCTGTACTTAATTTGAGAGTAGGTGATATACTGCTGCATATTATGCCATCATGAAGGGGAGGGGGGCTTTTATGAGAACAAAGATAACATTATCAGTTAAAGAAAAGAAAAACAGCTGGAAGATGGGAACTTCACTTAAGACAGAAGGATAGAAATGCAGTAAAAAGAGAAGGGGGTTGTGAGCAACATTCAGTTAAAAAGTTACCAGAGGTTAAGGTGGTTTTGGTTTCCAGGATAAAGTTTGAACAAAAGCATGTAAAAGTGGGGACAACATACTAGAGCTGTAGTAGCCAGAGAGAGAGAGAAAGGGAGATGTGTTGAAAGTGAGGCATCTGACCAGTCTGTGACCCCGCGCTACAGGGTTTCCCTGGAGGGCTTTGTTAATGTGGCACGGCTACATCACAGCAGAGGAGCTCATTGGACTAGCATTTCACCACCTGCTGTGCTTGTATATGTATAGAGAACAAGATGGGAGGGGGGGGCGACGTATGTGCCTCTAAGCTCCACATTCAAGCAGAAGGTTCTTATAGTTTTATCTCCTGTAAATCCTGATCAATGCCTCTGTAATAACCTCAGCTATGCATCCATGCAAAGTACCTTGCAAAATAATACCATTAAACTTAGCTAACTTAGGTCAAATTACAACCAAAAGCTTCAATACAAGGTTTTATGTCAAACACACAAACTACCACATATGTGTTAAGGAGAAGAAAATGGATAATTGTTTTTTTTTGTTTTCCAAATGAAAATCTCTACATTGTGACATGTATACACATTCCAGCTGGCTTCAGCGCTCATCTAATTAATGAATAGAGCCCCACAGTGTGTAATTTGATCTTTGCGTAGATGCAGCCATTCTGTGAAGATATCAGAGGTTTTTAAGAGAACATTTATGAACAGAGAGCATTACAAAGTTTAGAGCTTGGTATAGACGTGTAAAAGGTCAAAAAATAAATAAATTTAACTTTGTGTTTAGAGAGAATGACGATAGAGTGAACAGAGTTGCATGGAGTTGGCACAATGCAGTTCATGAACTCCAGAGAAGATGTCATGACCATAGATAAAGGTCTCTAAAATAAATGGCGATGGGCATGGCTGGAGGAGACAGGGTGAGATGACAAGCCATTTAGCAGCTGGTGCAGGAAGTTAGGTGAACCAGGCGCTTGCTTCTTGCTTCTGCACTCTGTGCTCCAAGAACGCTTAGCAGCAAAAATGGATATCTAAAGAAATGTGGTACATGCAAGTGGTAGGTATAAATGCACCTTTGCCATCTTCTGGCAGTTTTTGGTATTGTGTTTTCAAAAGTCAAATTTAGTCTTCAATCATTCATGCAATCTCTGATCCCATGCCCCCCCTACCCCCTAGCATGGCTTGAAAGTACACACACACACACGTGTATGTATATATATATATATATAGCTCACCTATTCACTCTCCGATTGTCCAGCAGGTTTAAACTGAAGACCAACACACAAATTAGGACATTAAAAAGTCCGATTTCTGGGTGATGACATCTTTCAAGAGTTCATGGGAAATTTGATAAATGTGAATTTCCCCCTTATACACTTTAAGGTCGGGGAATTCCTTACAAGCCTGACAGGCCTTACATCGATTGTCCTACTCAAACACCTGAGATCAATATGCTACTTTAATTTGTTGTCACTCTCTCCCTTATCAGCTGTCATCTTAGGTGACCTTCTTTTGTCTCCAGACTTTTATCCCTGCTTTGCTTCCCTGCTTAATATATCTTTCTGTTTAATAAAATATGGCCTAAAGGAGTAAATTATCAAACTTCTGAGGGTAACTTTCGAGCTAAATTTTGTCATATTTTCCTCACAAAAAACATGATTTACTACTCATTGTTAATCTTTCTCTAGAGGTCACCATAGCTGTATCTGTGATGGTTCTTTCTCTTCTGTCTTCATGCTTTTCCTGTTCTCAGCCTTTTCTGTTGGATCTCTCTTCATTGGAATAAGCTTGCTGACCTTGTTCAATCCTCTCTTCTTTCCCTGACCCCTTTCTCTTATGATGTAGTCGCTTTCTGAAAGTCCCTCCATTCCTCTAAATGCTGTATCATCCCTTCTCCATTACCTTTAGCTATCTTCTTTTTTGCTAATTCATGTTGGGGCTCCTGTGTGATGGACATCCTCCTTGTGACCACCTCAAAGTTGATGTTTAATAAGACTGGCTTATAGTAGCTTTAGCAATGTAGTTTTTCACAAAAAGATCAGCTTCTTTCACTATTGTTATTTTAAGCCACGGATATACTCTGAGCTACTTAGTAACATTGCTGCCTCTGACAAAATGTCTATAGATCGTATATTATATGTTATGCATATACCAAAAACTCCTTAAACCATATGTTGATGCTAAAAATGAGCCAATATATCCCAGGTATTCACCCTGATAGTGTTTAATTGGTCCGTTTAGCCTGAAAATATATATATTTTGATCCGGGTGATCAGCAGACATGCTGCTTCTTCTATAAGCTCCAATGTTCATATTAGATTTCAAGTGTTTTTCGTGTCCCATCCTTCTTGGTGTCAAATAATTTTGCGCTGTTTTAAATCTTCTTCTTGGACTTTTCCTGTTAGTTTACAAAAGATTAAACCAAAGTGTAAAACGCAGCAATAAAATATGTCAACAGGGCATCATAATAAATTCCTTTGTATGCAATCAAAAGGAAGTACTGGTGTAGAAAGTGTATGTAGCGAGAGTTTGTATGTGTGTTTATAAATATATCTAATTATGTATATCAACTACTTTACATGTAAATGTATCACATAGTTTGCAATTTAAATTCAAAATAAATCTGGAGCTAAAATGGATTGATTTGATTCAAAGTGTATTTATGTTGTAGAACTGTGAAGTCAGACATAAAACCCATATTTGTTCTGATACTTAAGCATTTCTGTTAACAAATGCTCTCTAACCAATGTGATTGAGCCTTTTTTTCTCAAAGAACTTCATTCATTTCTGTCTCACAATTTGCAGACATACAACATACTCCAATCCCTCCTTGCTGTAATTGCATTGAAATGTGCTTGCACTATTGAGCTGAATATATTTGCAAATCTCACTTTTTAGATTTCTATTTTAATAAACTATTTTCAGTTCATAATTACACACTCCTTGATTTCCATTTATCCCATTAACTTTTGTCCTTTGAGCTATTATAACTTGACTGAACATGAAGAGATTCAAGTGATATTATTATGGATATTTTATGAGAAACAATATGTGCTTGGGTGTAATTTGTTCAATCTACCTTTTCTTTTCTAGAAACATGTCTGCATCTAATATCTTTGACGTTATTCATTTTGTTTTGTTTTGTTTTTTTTTGTCCCCAGCTGCGTCATCCATCAGCAGCGAATCGTCTCCAGTCTCATCTCCTGCCACCAACCACAGCTCTCCAGTCAGTACACCCAAGAGGGGTCCTCTTGGTCCAGGACCTGTGCTGGTTCCCCCAGTGGGTCACAGTGTGCCAAACACTCCACCTGTCGTAACCATAGCTCCGACAAAGACGAGCAACGGCCTGTGGAGGAACGAGGGACGCCAGGTAAAATCATGCTTAAAAGCCACACTTACCGACATTAATTGCATCATGTTTAGTTGCTCTTTCTTTGTTTCTTTTGCCCTTTTTCTCTGCTGCTTACTGGAGTGTTCAAAGCTTCTCATTGTTCAGGTTTCCTCAAAGCACAATCTACATACAGTGCATCCAGATGGACTTTTTGGGCATCAGTGGATTAGGTTGCTGGCTTGGAGCTCTTATGTGTCAGTATACACGTGACATATGTGTCTGTGACATAGCTGGCAGGTTTATGAGTGTAGCTCCACCAACCCACTGACTACACACATTAAACAATGCCAGCTGCTGCTGGGACAGTGAGGTGATGGCAACAACGGCAGCTGTGCTCCATAGGCCTCCTACCTTTCTGTCTTTGGATAAGTCTCTCCCTAGTCTTGGAGTTAAAGGGAACACCGGGTTTTTTTACATTGGGCCCTTGATTTTACGTTATTACATCATGTTCTACTCACCCATATGAGTTTTATATTATATTTATATCCAAGTAACGTCCTCCTATGGGCAAACGACTTGAAGGCACAAACTAAACTGTTCATAATTTATTCTTTATGGTACGCCAGCATTCATAACATGTAGGCGAATCACTGTCCCCCAGACATCCGCGGTTCTATTTTTATATTTATATTTTTTTAAACAAAGCGGAGTGTGTATGACATCATCTGCGAGCGCCGGCTACCGTTTATTCATCCTGTCTGCTGAACTGCTGCTGGTTTTACTCACATGCCTGGAAGATGTCTAGCGCTACTACCACAGATGATCTCGCTCTCGAAATGGAATTGAACGATTCAGATTAGCTAGCTGAATGAATAGAAGGGGTAGAGCGTAGCCGCCTGTGGCCCGGGCTGCCTGTCACAACTCCAGTCCGGCCCATGGATGACGTCATACACACTCCGCTTTATTTAAAAAATATATAAATATAGGAAATATAACCGCGGATGTCTGGAGGACAGTGATTTGCCTTCATATTATTAATGCTGGCATACCATAAATGATAAATTATGAACAGTTTAGTTTGTGCCTTCAAGTCGTTTGCCCGTAGGAAGACGTTACCTGGATATAACCTAATGGAATATCTTCAGAACAGCTCCAAATGACACAAAACCCATATGGGTGAGTAGGACATGGTGTAATAACATAAAATCAAGGGCCAATGTGGAAAAAAAACAGCGTTCCCCTTTAAGAGCCCTCCATTCTAACCCGCGGTTCGACTGGAGGGCTTTCTCCTCAGCAGTCGGATGCAACCTCTGCCTCATTTTAAGTTGTGTCGTGAAGGAGAGAGAAAGTGGGAGAGCTGCTTGCTTTGATAAGGAGTGGATTATGGATTATGGCCTGGTTTTAAGCCTTCTTATCTCAGCTAAGGGCTAATGGTTGAGGCCAAGTGCACGGTTAGGAACAACACTCGGCAACATGCAGAAATTCTCTGAGACACTTAGAAGATTCCCTAGGGACAGACAGAAGGGGGGTACTGATGGGTGGGCGAAGAGGTCAGTCAGCAGCGATGTGTGGTAGCATTCAGGCCTTTGTCCTCCCTCCTGAATACCCCCTGAACCTTGCAATCTGTAACTACAGCTTTGTCAAATTGACCCGTCTGCAGTTCAGAGGTCAGTCAGTGCAAGGAAGGATGATGCTGTTCTCAGAGAGAATGCATCGTAGCATAGCAGCATGGAAGTTTCATGTTGCAGAAGTAAAAATATGGCACCAGACGCTTCCTCCATATCTCTGCTGCATATAGAGCTTCTGTTTCTCAATCGTATGCATGTTTGTGTGCTTTTGCACAGTGGCTGTGATAGTGTGTCCATGAGGTCATACTCAGACTGCAGAGGTCAGTTCACTGGGTTCGCACTGCATCTAAAGCGGTTGAAGGCCAGATTGCTAAAGAATGAGAGGGTTAAGATGGTAGCAGGAGGTTAGAATGAGGGGTCAGAGGTTGGAGGGGAACAGCAGGGGGAATGCGTCATGAAAGCAGGCCTCATGGCATCTCTAACATTTCAACTGCAGCCATGAAGTGAGCCTCTGGACTATAAAAGCCACTCAGACAAACACAGAAGATATTTTCCCAAAAAATGATAGTTTAACAGGCTTTTATAATACAGGGGAGCAGTCAGTGGTCACAAATGGAGACAGCGTCTCATTCAGAGGCATAAGTATGTTGTCTGCATCCCTTCTAAAGTGTTTGAGAAACACTTGTTTTTTTTGTGTGGGCAAAAAAAAAATGTTTGTCTCCTCCTTTGTGCATTAGAGGGGTATTTTACTGTCTCTGTGCCTGAGATATAATTCTGTCTTTCAGGGTGGGGGTGATGGGCAGCGCTGTGAAGTAGGGAGGCCTTGGTGCATTGGCATTTTGCTTTAATGACTGCGGGAGTCTGCTCCCGCTGCTGCCTGTAATTGCTTTATAATTGGCAATTTGGATTCATGGCTCCATCTGAGAGGCATAAACGAGCACTCTACAATGCGCGGGGTCTCCCACCCTCGCTAAGGGTTACAGGGGCCTGGCTGGCACAGAGGAAGATGTTTGTTAATGGATGTGTCTTTGGAGTTTAAGTGCATGTGCTATTTAGTGTGTGCAGATGGATGGGCTACTGGTGAGTAGTGCATTTTCAGTCAGGAAGAACCTTAAAATGGCATGGCTGTTTGAAAGTGTGGGTGCCTGAGTAACTAAGTGCTGTGGGTCTTATCAGAGGCCTGACCTATTACACCTGCACCTTTCGAATACCCCTCTGTGACTGAATACATGCATTCATGTAGATTCCCATGACTATGATCAGAGATCAGAAATAAACCGAGGTATGTTTTAAGGAGAGGTCATAGCTATGCCTGGGTTGGTTGTTTGTACTAAAGGATACCCAGGTTTTAAAGTGTATGCATGGAGTATAAAATAACACTCATGCTAAGGAGGAGAGATTGCTTCAAAGATTACAACTCATTGCAATTACCGGCTGTTCCATCATTTTTCTAATTCCTCTGTTAAACTGGACCTTTTTTATATAATTATTATTTCCTTATTTATTTCCTTTATGTATATTAGAAAACAAGTATCATCAATTGGAGCTTTAGCAATAGACTGAATTAAAAATGTATTTATCTGCTTTTAAGCAGCATATTTATATTTCCTATTTATTTTACTCTAATTAACAAAATGCAATTAGAAAAATACTGGTAAGGAAGCTGAAAGTGGCTAGTTACATGAGCACAATTTTATTACTCCATAGACTGCAGTGTGTGTATTAATTAGGGCTGAAACAATTAATTGGATTAATCAATTATTGAAATAATTGTCACTAATTTAGTAATCGATGAATCTTTAACTGGAGTATAGAGACTCTAAAACATGCCTAGAGCAGTAATTATGCCAAAATAAAAATATATAAACATTTTGCAAACTTTTTTTTTTTTATCCGTCAGTATGCTGGATCCAGAACTCCTCAAGTGGAAAAGATTTAGTTTAACCTGGTTCAATTTCAATAAAAAATCTTGCTAGGAACATCTGGCTATCCGATTATTAATCGACAAAATAAATGACAGATTAATCAATTTGCTAAATAATTGTTAGCTGCAGCATATTAATATGAAAATACCTTCGAAAATATGTTGTACAGGGTTTTTAATATAAACATACAAAAAAAACTTTCATTCACTTGGAAATAGGATTTCATGTTGTTTCAAATTAAAGAATTTAGATTACAGTTAAGCATCTGAATTTTCCCATTTTACTTAGGTTAATATTGTGGGAATCGTCCCAACTAATGCCTCGTTACGGTCATCACAGGGATTTACTTGCTCTCAGTAGACATTGAATTTGTCAAAACAAGAAATCAAACCAATTCTGTGGCTGATATGCAGCAACAACAGCTTAATTATTGCTGCTGCATCTTCTTATAAGATTTGTGTGAAATTAGTTAGAATGGGATGCTTGATTTAATTTCAGTGGCCTTCTGCGTCTGGAGATTGGTCCAATTGAGAGTAATTACATCACGGCGATGGTGGTGAAAAGGTGTCTCAGTGACACACACACTTCATCTGAACACAGCTTCCACTTTCCTCATGCATACCGGCTGCTGGTTAGCAGTCAGTCAGAGGTCATGACCTCATCACTAGTGGGCAGTAGGGTCTTAATTCATGTCTGTTTTGATGCACTTTTTTTTTACAGCAGTTTAATCAATAGTGTATATGTGAATAGAATAAAAGGGAAACTTAATGTGATATCTGTGCATCTGTCCTAAACTTAGCTTTTTTCATAAATTGCAGCCTCCTGTGTTTCTAAAGAACATGCTGTTTTCAAGTCACAGTCCATTAGGTATGAATCAGTATCCAGCTCTGACATTATGATAACCATGAGAAAAAAAAACACTATTTTTTACAGAAAATCTAAAATGCAGCTGTGCAATCTACAAGTTTCTTTTTAAAATGCATGCCTACTGCTACAACATATTTCAACATCTCTTTTGCATAGAGCTGCACAGTATGTGTATGTATCACTACTAGCGCTAGAATGTGCTTGGATGTAATGTTTTTAAGGTTGTATAATTTCAGCAGCCGTTCACTGAAACTTTTCCACTGATGTCAGAAATGTTTGTTCTCCCTATAATGATTGTGAACTTTACCCTGATGTCCAGGTGACCCATCATAGGTGACCTAATCTTATTCACACAGAGCTTCAGGTCAATCAGAGGGTAATGAATTGCATTTAATAGGACATTCATTAGCAAATACTAATTATTAAATCATAGGCACCCTAGTTTCATAGGCGGCAAACCTGTTGGAGTAAATAGCTGCATTAGATTGGAGAACAGCAGGGCATGTTTAATGCGGGGTGGCAACTCCAAAAGGTTGGACTTACTGCATTAGACTGCTGGAAAGTACAGAGAGGGTTTAAACAAAGGGTCATGTTAGGAGTCTGACCATTAGAGGCATTTAAGATTGGATGTTGGCGCATCAGTGTCAGCCTGGGTCAGTAGCTGTGGAGTTAATGGTTCAGTAAATGGGATTTGTTTTATCAGAGAGAGTGGTGAGAAAGGCAGCAGTGCTGCTGTAAGGTCTTGTTCTTCTCCCAGGGAACCCAGAGGTTAATTTAGTGGGTTCAAGAACTGCTAACTCCTTCGGCTCTCTGTCTTTATGGCCTCATCTTGATCTTTCTTGTCTCCCCTTTTCCTTCTCTTCCTACTTGTTCTCCTGCCAATTTCAATTCTGGTTTTGAAAGCTGTGTGATAAATGTGTCTTCTTTCCCAGGATAAACCTTGACTGTAATTCGTCTTTTGAGCAATTTCCTTATATAACTTAGAAAGACTGTAAAATTCTCTTAAATGCTCTTGTGTTTTCAGGCTGAGGAAAACCAAAGCTTCAGAAAACGCACTCCCACTCCCACAGCGGGATGTCTTTTGTAGCCCTAAACACTGTGCGTGCCTGCTGAGTGTGTCTGTGTGTGTATGTGTGTGTGTTTGTTGTGGGATTGAAGAAGTGAGACATGGCTTGCAGCCAAAAGCAAAGGAGGAAGGAAGGGAGGTGAAAGAAATAAGGGAAGAGACAGGAATGGAGGTTTAGGGGTGTAGCTTTTTGGACTTTGTTGTGCACACTGTCACAGACATTCTTTATCTTCGTTGAGGGTCATCATCACCAGCAGCATCACTGTCATGTCAGCTACTTATCAGAATTAGTTCACCTCTACACACTTTCTTCTACTGCTTTACATTGCATTGATTATTAGAACTGTTATGCTGCCTGTTTCAAAAGAGGATGCTGTGTAAGGAATTGTACAAAAGCGCCTGAGGTAGGGAGATGAGGCGAAGGAGGCTGCCACCCCACAAACAGGCCTATTATTTCTTCTATCTCCCCACTCAAAGGGCAGGCTGCACTAGCAGTGACAACCGTGACGGTCACAGGTCCCAACGAACAATAACCAAGACTCTTTCCTTGTATCTCCCTGCAGGCTGACTCGGGGCCCCGTGGGGCCAGCAGGGAACGTTTGGGTGCAGAGGGGACCTTCTCCCAGGAGAAAGGTGGCCCCTCAGTCCCTGCTCACCTCCTGGGAAACCCCTATGCCTTTGGTCTCACCCCTGGTGCTGTCATGCAGGATTCACGGTTTCCCCCCCTTAAGTGAGTAAAACACTTTTTTTTTTTTTTCTTTTATCAATTTGTTAAATCTGCATTTTATAATAGCACGTTGCAGTAGCAGCTCAGTTGGATGGTGTGATCAATAGTGTTTCTGTATATCAGGCTCTCTAGAATAAGCAACAACAGCCCACATTCATCTTTTTTGACGTCAGTGCTGAGAGGCAATTAGTTTATGTTGTTTCTTATGGAATTCTGATGAATTTACACAATTCTAAGCAGAGGAAATCAAACAAACCTTATTTCCCTGCTGTGCCTCACTGATCCCTCCATCCCCTCCAGCCTGCCCAGACAGTTGCCTAATGCGGTGCCTCCTGGTGCTGTACCAGAGGAGTACATCCGGAGTTTTCGGCCCTATGCCACTGCAGAGGATCCACTCAGGATGCAGTCTCTGCCTTTGGGCCTAGACCCTGCAGCAGCTGCTGCTGCAGCGGCGTACTACCACCCCAGCTACCTTCCCCACCCGTCCTTCACACCGTACAGGTAAGCCTCTATATAATCTTTTTGTTGCCTTTGCACAGTTTCTGTTGTTGGATAATTTTGCAAAACCAAAATATTACATTGTATTGTATATTATTGATGTCTAATAGAAAACTTGAAAAAGAACAATTTATTATTTCACAATAGTGAATTAGACTGAGTTATCCAGCAGAAAACTGTTGACATCCTTCACAAGGAGGAAAAACAATAAAAGGTTGCCTATAAAAGCTGCCTGGTCACGGGGCGCTTTATCCAAATAAATTAATGGGAGGTTAACTGAAGGGGGGAAAAAAAACTCCAATGTGACAAATGCATGAGTAGCATGGTTAACATAACGCTTTAGAGCTGATATGCTTGGATATAAGCAGCACTAGAAGTATTGTGAGATTTCTATTAAGTCATTTCTAAACCAGAGACTAATTTAAAGACTGGGGGGAAAAAAATGACAGGATTTTTGCTTATGGCTCCAAAGTCCCTGTTTTGATCAAAGTTGATTCTGAATTGAGAATCAAGGCCTCAAAGTTGGGAAGTAAAGGGGAAAAGCACAGAATTCAAACTCCTTTAAAGACTAGAGTGAAGTTTCCTTAGTCAGTGATGATTTTTGGAGATATTTCATCCTGTAACGTTGGTCCACAGTGTCCATTTCATTCTTCCCATTCTTGACATTCTTAATGTCGGTTTTACCTTACAGCAGGGCTTGACTCTTGGCCATACACCCAAAAGTATAAGTAAAAGGCCTGTGTTTGATAAATAAACCCTTTGGGGGGTTTTCTGGTGGAAGCTGAGAGATGACGTTGCACTTAGACATCAGGTTCTAGCGCAAGATGACAAACAAGCAAAGATTTCTTCTAAAAACTGAAGATCACTCTATTCTGGCACTGAGCCGTTTGGTACACAGCCCACTAAGTTCAAAATGATGGTTGAACTCATCCTCAGTCGATAAGCTGATGTTAAAAATGTATTTGAATATTTCTTGGTACCAGAACAGATAAAGGGTGAAATAAAGATTATTAGATCACTGTCAGTCTCTTGAGGCAGTGGGGATGACATTTAGGTATTTCCTTTATGTCTAAATGTCATACCCAGCGTTAAGACAAGAAGACCAAGTGTATTATCAAGTGAATTGGTGGAGGTTTGTATGAAAGCAACATTACCATTAAATACTTGGTTAAAGTTTTTTAATGAATAAAGGTGTTAACTATATTCACACTTTTGTTTGAAGAATGCCTTAAAAAAGAGCTGCACACTTCATCAAATCACAGTCGCTTAATGTAGCATTAGCATGAGCCACATCCCAGAGGACTGAACTGGAAATATAATGCTTTATTAATTAATATATTTAAGGACTGCCCTTTATGCTCATACCTGATAAAATGTTAGCGTTTGAAAAGTGGTTTCATTTCAAAAATGAAAAAGAAAATATGAATGAACTGTAACCAGGTTAATCATTGCAATAATTCAATGTGTTTTAATGAAATGTTTTTTCAGAGGCCTGTGCAGCAACACAGGACAGTTTATATGTAGTTTAGACATGATTGTGTGTATGATGAGAAGGACTCTTCTTGCTTTAGGCTCTAACACTGGCTAGATGACAGCCCCTAGTCTGTCATCTAACATCATAGGAGTGCAGCAGCCATCACACATGCTCCTCTATAATGGATTTAATGAGGGGTGGGTTGAGGATGTCGCACACGTACACAGAAGCTGTGCATCAACATACAGCGCTGTCTTTTCCTGGCTCGTCTTTGGTGATGGAGCTTAGCTGACAGCTACTGCTCCCTTCTGGAAAAGATGGAAGACCCAGTGATGTCGCCTCTTTGGGAGAGGGAGGCACACAGGTTAATGAAAGTGAACAGAGCTCTGTCACATGAGGAGACTGACTATCTTTTTTTCTCTCCTTTTTTGTAATCCTCGTTTCCCAGGATGGATGACCCGTTCTGCCTCTCTGCTTTAAGGTCACCTTTCTATCCACTGCCAGCAGGGGGAGCCTTACCCCCCATTCATCCTTCTGCTGTTCACATGCACCTACCAGGCGTCCGCTACCCTGGAGATTTTGCACACCCGTCATTGTCAGCTCTGCAGTCTGAGAGGTAAAGTCCCCCTTGGTAAATGCATAAAGCATATCAGCACTTATGTTTTCTTCTTTTAATTTTGCTGACATCCTTTTGTTTCGCTTTTTCAATTTATTTTTTCCAGACTCCAGCTAGAAGATGAGCTGCGGCAGCGTGAGAGGGAACGTGAACGTGAACGAGAACGAGAGCGGGAAAAAGAGAGGGAGCGTGAGGCAGAGAGGGAGAAGGAACGCGAGAGGGAACGGGAGCGTGAGCGTGAACGAGAAAAAGAGCTGGAGAGGGAGAGGGAACGGGAACGGGAGCGCGAGAGAGAGCGGGAGAAGGAGAAGGAAAGGGAGAAGGAGCTGGAGAGGCAGAGGGAGAGAGCTCTGAGGGAGAAGGAGCTGCAGGCATCCAAGGCCATGGATAACCTCTACATGGCTGAGCTCCACACAATGAGAGGACAGGAGGAACGAAGCAAGCCTGAGAGGCTAACCCCTAATCGGGCTGGTATGTTTCCATGCTCCCTATGATGCTTCCAAAAGCTACAGTCTTATTGATTTACTGTCACTGAAACAGCAAAAGTTTTCACCAAATTTATCTTTAATCTTTTCTGATGACTGTTGGGTAGACTGACCTCCACACTGCTAGCCATAAGGAAAACAAAATCAGACAATAGATGGGCTTGTCAAATTTTCAACAGATAATTTGTACAGATTTATTACTGAATGCTCAGGGTCCCACATGCTAGAACTTAGTTTTAAAAATGGAACTTGCACCTCTTCATCTCACCAGGTACAACAAAATACAAAGCACATGCAGGATGTAAATGGCCGCAGCAGATGGCTTCACCTACTAAGACTATACCTGGGTTCTATTGGAGATTTCTTTCTGTAGAACAGGAGTTCTTATCTTATATATATGGTTCATCTTTTTACAAATAGTCTTTAAAAAAATGTAGGTCTTATATAAAAGATGATTTAAAAATAGATAAAAGAGCAAATTCACCCTTAGTCATAAAAAAGCAAATCATCAGGTTAGAAGAAAACTATGAAGAAAGCTATGACCTGCTAACCTGACTCCGCCAGATGGATTTGCTCCGCATATCCATCTGGAAACCTTCCGTTGAAGTAATTTTGGGAAGGGGTGAAAATACTGGTTAGCTGATTGGCCTATGTTTGTGATAGACGGGCCAAATAAACCAATCAGATCAACGACGCATATGACGTACTAACAGACCGACGACGAAAACACAGCCACAAGCCAGGCTAACTCTTGCCGAAACCAGTCGGGAGAAGAGCAAAAACATCTTTTCCTCTGAGAAAAGCCTCCAGAGCAGTGTTTTGCTCTTCTTTCAGTGAAGAAATACTCTGTAATTCCGATAAAACTTGCTCGATAGCCACGCTAACGCTAGTTTCATCTGTCGCGCTTCTCGTTGCGTCACACCTCAACCCGCCTCAAAGCCAACGCTGATTGGACGTTTGTTTGGTGGACTGCTCTAAATTTTCTTTAATTGAAAGTAGCCAGACTGATCTGCGAGTGAAACCTTGAAAGCTCGCGAGATCAGGATGGTCTCACGAGGCTAATGACCTGCAGATTCCAGTTTATTTTTTTTCCTTAGCATTTATGGACCCAAAATGAAACAAAAAACTGCCATGCGTGTTCTTTGACTGTAGAAACTTTAAATCCAACTAAAAATATAAAAATGTATGATGGACCATTTTTCCATAAATGTAGGTAAACACCCGAGTCACTTTTTGAGTAATAATTTAATAACTGCACCTGTACTAGATGGTTTTGCATGCTACTCCGCCATAACATTAATGCCTTCCTTCTGAGGCATTACTGGTCTTTTCATAATCTGGAAAGCCAGTTTGCTTCTTTTGACTCTCAGCCGTTTTCCAAGTTCACAGTGAGAGCAGTGGAGCTGCTATAAACAAAAAGCTTTCAGGATAGAGAAACATTAGAATTGCAATCAGACAGCAAGAGGAAATGATCAAATCACAAAGATTGGCATGTGGGACAAACAATAGAGAAGTTGATCCAACCCCTTTAATGCAATAAAGGACAAGGTCACACTTTTAAAATGCGTTTTTAACTTCAAAAATTAGTTTCAATATTTATTGAACAACTCATTTTTGACACTGACAACTTTGACAACTGTTCCTGCTGCAGAAAAAACCAAAGAGCCTGCTCTTCCCGCTCCCAAGCCAGTCCCACCTGGAATCCACCCTTCAATGGTCCAACCTCATCATCACGTCTCTGGGCTGATCTCTAACCACGGCCTCTACATGGGCTCCAGCGCTGTGGGCGCAGGACTCCCCTCCTCCTTGATCACGCAGAGAGCAAACGAAGAGGAGAGGTGGTTGGCACGGCAACGCAGGCTCAGGCAGGAAAAAGAGGATCGTCAGTCCCAGGTGTCTGAATTTCGCCAGCAGGTTCTGGAGCAGCATCTGGACCTGAGCCGGACTCCTGACTTACCAGATCACAGGACAGACGCGCACAGGTGAGCCAACACTCTCTAACACATTTTCTAAACACATGCCATGGCAAGGGTTTTATGATTTCATTCACTGATTGTACTTTTTTTTCTACCATTATCTGATGAAGTTAAATAGTTCTTGTATCTATGACAACAAAACACACAAACAGTGGGCTTTCCTGTCCTTTGTCTGCTTTAAATAACAGGGGTGGTTTTATTTTGTAGCTCTAAAAACAGGCAGATGTTCAGTTTCTTTTGGTCACAGCAGGAAAAAAATGAACCATTTTAGGAACATGACATCTTTTCCATTTCCCTTTAGAGGTCCTTTTAGTGCTGACATGAAAAAAGCAAACTGTGTATAGGTGCTGATGAAACTAATGACATTGGAACTTAATAAATCCTGTCCATGAGTGGGAACTGATAAGGGTTTCAAACACAAGGGGAGTTGGACTACTTGGACATACAAAAACTAATTCTCAGTTAATCCTCTCAACCATATACAGGATAAGCCTGGTAGCTACCTCTCACTGTGAGGGTGCCTGTGTTTGTAGTGTTTGTTATTCAGTGGTGAGGCTCTGGTTAATGCTGGCAGGACTGGACATACACTATCAGTAACCCTTCAGTTTAATCACATAATCACAGCTCAAAGACTGCAGATTGCCGATAAGATGCACTTTTCTTCATGCGCATTCACCAAAACAGCATGCCTAATGACTAATAGGGTCATGCAGCGTGTGCAAGATTTCTATGTTTGAATTTGGAAATAGACTTGGAGAAGAAAATGCCTTTAACCCCCCCTGTTTCTGTCTTTATTTCTATGAATCTATTAATATATCCATTTGTTTGCTACTTCAAAAATGACATTCTGCTTTTTACAATCCGTGTCTCGGCACTGCATCAGGAGGACATTTCTGCTGGCCTCTACTTTCGTACATAGCTCTCTTCTGTACTTGCCTCACTACAAAGGCCTAGTAGATCAAAAAAAGCAGCCTCTGTGTTGGAAAAAAAAGTGTGCGCCTTGGCCACATCCTCACTCTGCTCAGGGCTACTCTGTCTGGGTTTGATAAAGCTGCTTTGCACAGACACACTGACAGGGCTGAGAGGAAGCAGGCACAGCACATGAGCTCTGTTGCGTGTCTCTGTTCCATGCCTTTGATGGAATAAAACTTTTTTTTTTTTTTTTTCATTTGGAAGAGAGAATGTGTTTTATTTATGCATCAGATGAACATTTCCTTTCTGATTTTATCCTGGCAGGTCCATGCAAAACCACCATGAACCAGGAATCAGGGAGCATCATCCCCACCTGGGCGCCCCACCACCCCTCATCTCGCCCAAACCTCCACAGCCCCAGCGTGAGCACCACCCTGTACCTCCAACAACCTTGTGGAACCCTGCCTCTCTCATAGAAACTCCTTCAGAATCCAGGCGTAACCACGAGCCTTCAGGGATGGGCCACTATGACATAAGTCGAGTTCCCCCAGGGCCCTCCAAATATGAAGATGGAGCTCGAAGGAGAGACATGGGAGCGATGGAGAAATACCCCCCTCTCAGACCTCCTCTAGTCCTCCCAGAGCACAGCACCTTCCTTGCTGATCTAGAGAAGTCCACCCAGTCCTTCCTAAGCCAGCAGAGGGCAGCGATGTCTCTACCTAGTCAGTATGAAATGGAGGGAAGCTTAAAGATCAATGCAGGACTAAAGAACCTTCAGGGACATCCAGTGCACAGCAGACATGGACAAGGTCCTGGAATGATAGCTGGACCTGGCATTGGACCGCTGACTGCACAGGGTGCGGGTCCAGAGACGGTGCTGATCTATGATGAGTTTCTCCAGCAGCACCGAAGGCCTGTCAGTAAGCTGGACCTGGAGGAGAAAAGGAGAAGGGAGGCCAGAGAGAAAGGTGGGCCTCAAGAATCTACTTTAACATAAAGACCACAGATTAATCTGTCTCCTTTACAGGAGGAAGTAAGAAATGTTGTGACACTGTTTCTGCAGGTTACTACTATGAGCTGGATGACTCGTATGATGAGAGCGACGAGGAAGAGGTCAGAGCCCATCTCAGAAGAGTAGCAGAGCAGCCCCCACTGAAACTAGACTACTCTACAGAGGTAAAATAGCAGATAAGAAGCTTACACTTTCACACCGTTACATGGCGAAAGAAAATCCAAACTATAATACAAAACTACAGAACATGAACCATTTTGTTTCCATACAGAAATTAGAGTTTCTGAGAATGTTCAATCTGACCACCGTGAGCCGGCGTGATGAGCTTGTGCAGCAGAAGAGGAGGAAAAGGAGGAGAATGCTCAGGGAGCGCAGCCCTTCACCTCCTGCATCACAGTCCAAACGCACCCCCCCACCACCTCCTGCTCCGCTCAGCACACGCTTCACTCCGGAGGAAATGGACCAAGCACCAGAACTGGAGGACAAGAAGCAATTTCTTACCATGTTTAAACTCTCTCACGTCACCATGCAGGACAGAAAAGGTCAGTGAAGCAGTTAAAGCAGCCCTGAATAGAATAGAAGAGAGTGCTCCTTAATCTTTCCCCCAGGGTGCATATTTGTGAATTAAAAGACAATAGAAAGGGACAAATAGGAAGACATTCAAAAGCTATTTCAAAGCAAAATTAAAGCAATTAAAAGGCACAACAGAGATGAATATAGAAGAGTGGTACATAAAACACATTAGCTTCATACTGACTTGGTTGCATTAACCTTTAACAAAAATATCCCCATCAGTTTCTTCTTTTGTTTTTTGTCTTGGGCATCTCATTTCAGCTGAGTGATGCCCATTTGGGTCTTAAAACACAGCAGTTTGTCCTGCAGCTTGCTGATGCTTCACTATAGATGAACTCTGCTAGTTTTATTTGCTCTACACTCCCATGAACATGCTGACTCAAGCCTCCAAGGAAATTATAAAAGGGTCAAAAGATGTCAACTTCATGTCCCTATATTATATGCAGCATGCATTGAGCAACGTTTGCACAATGACTGGCTTTTATTTCGCCCTGGTTTGATGAAGGAACTTTTGTCAAATCGGTTTGCACACACATGTCTAAAGAATGGCTTTTTAAGCTCTTTACTTATTTGCTTTTTGTTAATTACAAAATAAGGTTTAACAACCAAATAAAACCCTCAAATCGTTGCTGTTAAAAGGTCTTGAAAAGCTTAGATGGTCTCGTTAAAGGCTGCGTAGATGGTCTGAACTGGGAAATCAGCAAAATCCTAAAATAACAGTAGTTTGACATAAATGTGTTTCAGTAGCAGCAAAAGGAAAGCTCACTGACATGTATAATGATCATTTGTTTTCTTTTAGACAATGAAAGGGTGATTGAACTGCTTCAAGCCATAAAAGAAAAAAATGTAACCTTGGATACAATCAGACATGCACCTCATCCGCTGTGCAAGAGTCCTCCAGCACACATCTCTGGTAAGATGCTTCTCACTGGATAATAATTCACCTTTTTATCACCAAGTATTTCTGAGGTTATTCAAAGACTTTTTTTCAGTACATGTAAAGTAACCCTGTGCAGTAATAGTGTCTGACCGCATTGTCACACTAGTGATGATGTGGATCTTGACCTCTTCATGAATAACATATGCTGAAATGATTGCAGATAAAGCAACTACCCAGCACTCCTCTGAATCTGAAGACCACCATAATGTCAGGCAGCATAGTCCTCCGTCACATTGCCCAGCATCCCCCTGTGCTCCTAAACCCCTCGGAGACATCTTACGACCGAAGGCACCCCCCTCCCCGGCTGTCTACCCAGACAAGGCCCGGGGGTCCGGTGAGGGCCCCGTCTCAAAGAGGAACTCCAGCTTGCTCAACAGCTTGCGGCCGCCACTCCCCCTGCAGACTAAAGAGGGACCTCCTAGCGTCAACGGGCGCACAAAACCTTGGGACAGCTTCACCCCAGAGGAATTCGCCCAGCAGTTCCATGAATCTGTGCTTCAGTCCACTCAGAAGGCTCTGCAGAAACACAAAGGTACTACACTTTCTGTGCAAATGGGATTTTAATCTACAGTGTCAGAAACGTCAAATCTGAGGTTTAATCCCATTTCCAGTGGTTGCTTCCCCAGTTTAGCTGCTGGTTAAAATATGAAGCTAAAGCAAAATAAATTCTCACTGATTCCAACTCTGTAAAAATATATTCCTATAAAAAGAAATAATGTTCTCATAAATTTCATAAAAGCCTTAATCCGTAGGGCTGCTAGACATTTTTTTCATGTCAAAAAGACAAAATAAACCCATGTAGAAAATGAGTTTGTTGTTTAAGTCAGATGTTAATCCAAATGCCTGAAATATATACTGTACTAATAAGAAATACTTTGATTATTTACAATAACATATTTTTATTTATTTAAACACAGACTCCATGTCTACTAATCGTCCAAAATGCTTAAAGTTAATGAAATTGTGGCTGACTGCATGTTTTTAAATATAATTTGGAACATTATTTGATGCTAGGATATAAAAGACACGAATCTATACATGACCGTTGTTTTAAGGTGTTTTATCATAAGATAATATTTTGAACGAAGTCATTTTGATCCTTTTTCATTTTGTTATAATTGGCAATATTTAAACCTCTAAAATATTTTATCTTTCTTGATAAAATGGTTAACCACATCACCTGTAATTAGTCAAACTCTTTAAACTAGATATAGTAATTACTGTGCCATTAAATAAGCTATTGCATTTGTAACTGCTGCTCTCATCTCTTTGTCCCTGAAAAATCTTAAGTCTTAATGGCCAGAACGCCATAGTTGCCGTACTCCTCAGATACGCTTTAGTTTACCTTTCCCTTTAACTTTGAGGGTTAAGAGTGATGGGGCAAGGGATTAGATTTGCTTCAAATTGAACTCTGCTAAAAGTATATTGCATGATGCACATTTAACCTATATTGTAGCTTCAAACTTGGATCTTGTCTACAAAACCTCAGCAAAGTCATTAAATGTTTTTCTTTATTATTCTCATTTTAGTAATATAATAAAAAAAATATATTCTTTGTTTGTACTCTCCCTTGCAGCTGAAAACCTAGATATATAAAATTTTATTTAAAGTCTAGTATGCTCTTTTTCCGGGTGGATCATCAAAATAAGTGGTCCTTCCTACTGTCAATCATTCTGGTGATACGTTTACCTAAGGCCGTCCTCCTTGCTCGTCCCCATTTTCATTTACCGTTGGTGAGTTTGACAACTTGGAAAAGTTGCAGATTAGATTAGATGAGCTTTATTGATCTCACAGTGGAGAAATTCACTGGTCACATATTGGCATAGTAATCAAAGAAGGTGCAAACAAGGAGGAAAAAGGTGCATTAAGAATAAATCTTCTTTTGGAAAGTAAGCTTGTATGAGTGATGCAAAAAGCAACTTTTAAACAGAGCGTGCACGATGAGAAATGGGCTCGTGCACACTCTCCCACGCATTTAATAGGCGTTCCCTCTCTGGAGCGGGTACAGGGTTGTGCATGTGTGTGTTTTTTTTTTTTTTTAAGTGGAGAGGGTGTGTCTTCAAAAATTCATGAAAATCCTCCTCTATACCTTTAATTATATAAGAAACTACATATAGAAAGTATGAAGTGTCTTGTGATGGGGCATAAAAAGTCATGATCAATCAACCATTCTGTTCTTTCTCTCCTGTGGTTCTCTCTGTAGGCGGAGCAGCAGGCGTGTCAGAGTCATCTCACCCTCAGGAGTCATCGGTCCACTATAACATTCCCGAGCTTCAGAACGCCCCCAGCCGTCCACCTCTGCCACTCTCACAGGCGCACTCAAACAATCCCCCATTTCCCCTTCCCCACTCCCACCCTCAGCCCAATGGACAGCACTTTCCAATGCCCCTCCACAAGGAGGCAGCAGTGATGAGGGAGGACCTGTCTGGTCCAGAGGATTTTGAAGAGGAGGATGATGAGGAGGAGGAAGAGGAGGCTCCTGTTCCCAAGTGGCAGGGAATCGAATCTATATTTGAAGCATATCAGGAATATGTTGAAGGTAAACAGCCAATAAGCAGGATACAAAATCTCACTAATGGTTTTTATAGGATTTAAATCTCGTCTTCAATAATGTTTGAAATATGATTATAAATTACATTGAATCAAATGGTTTCATACGACTATAAATAAATAACTTTGAGAGAGAAAGGGCAGGTAAAATTGTCAAAAAATAAATCTAATTAAATAAAACATACATGTTCTATCGAGGCATATGTTGTACCATTTATTTGCCACTAGAGGACAGTATCATTTTCTGATGTGCTGAGAAGAGCATATTAAAGATGAGTTTTGCATGCTTTACTCTGGTCTTATTCATAACCAAAACATTGTATCTGTTTCTTTTTTCCACTTTCTGCATCATTTCATAGAGCAAACTTTGGAGAGACAAGTATTACAGAACCAGTGTCGAAGACTAGAAGCGCAGAACTACAACCTCAGTCTGACAGCCGAGCAACTGTCTCACAGTATGGGGGTAAGACACACACAAACACACACAGACCAGGAAATAAAGGCACAAAGTTGAGTTTTGAGTAATTGCAATAATCCTCCAAAGACCTTTATTAAGAAAATAAAAAAATGTTTCTGCATCCTTATAAAGCTACTGGTGAGCCGCTCCATGGTCACCATTAAATCCTCTCTGACAGCCATTCTAAAACATTATTACTTTAAGTAAGAAAGAAAAAAAGTTTTATAGAGTAAACTGGTTTATCTCTGCTACAAATATAAATATTGTTATATATTGTTGGGTGAAAAAATCCTCTATTTGTTTACTGATGCCTGAGATTCTTGCGCCTCCTCCTGTTATTCCTCATTAATGCTCGACTCCTCCTGTTGCACAGGAGCTGATGTCTCAGCGACAGAAGCTGGCAGTGGAGCGGGAGAAGCTACAAGCAGAGCTGGAGCACTTCAGGAAGTGTCTGAAACTGCCGCAGACACATTGGCCTAGAGGTAGCCATTACAAAGGATACCCTCCTAGGTGACCCCCGACATGCCCCCCCTGAAGACTCCCAGCCCCCCAGCTGCCTCCCGTCAGACATAAGTTTATTTTTCACAGCCTTGTCCTTGTGACTCCACAGAGGGAATATGGCTTACTGGATAAGATGAGTGAATGAAATGGCTTGGGTAAATGAATAAACGGGTGAATGCACAAGAGACAGGACCATTGAGTGAAGGACAGTTAGTCTCTGGAGCGGGGCTTCCCAGGGACCGCTCCCAAAGCCACTGACGCGTGCCAATGTAGCCAAGTGAGATCAGTAAAGCAGGACCACCTAAAGATCAACAAGCAGTCTCAAACAGATGGCTGCCAGTCCCATCCTTTAGCTCCTGTTGTTCTGCTGTTCAGTCCCTGCATCCCTCATCACCACAGCCACACAGACAATCCTGCCAATGAAGGAGCAGCTGCCCCTCCCCCCTCCCCGAGGGGTTTCGTCACAAGACTTGAAAGCTCCAAATCTCCAGACGAAGGCTTCAGGCCAGTTGGGACTGATTTTTACCACAGCGGCCACCGTACCTTTTGAACTGGAAATGCACTTAAGAATAAAAGCTGAAGAACTACCTGTTGGTACTGTGTTACAACAAAGAACTGTTCATTTTAGGGAAAAAAAACTTAGAAAATGTAAAATTTTTTTAAAAAGAGTTAAGGAAAGGTTTTATTTCAAAATAGAAAGTTTGAAAATAAGAATTTTAAAGGGTGCTTCAGCCTTGTATTGTACATATTATGAAGACTTAAATGAATTTTGTATGTTTTTATTACTTTAATCATTGTTCTTTTAAAAGAGAAGCCCGCCATTTTTATATGTTTATGCTTTTTTTGGGGGGGGAGGGGTTGAAAAAGAAAGCCTTGCTTTTTGTGTTTTTTTTTGCTGCTGCTAGCAAAAAAAATAAAAAAATACACTCCGAGATGGTCCACAGATGGAGCTGAAAGCAGGGCGTCTTCCTGCTTTTTTTTTTTTTTTTTCCTCATCCGAAGTCTGAGCAGCTGAGGCCAGGCCACAGCCCACTTCATCTGACCCTAAAAGACCCGTCCCTGCCAACCCGCCATCCCGTCCCCCTTTCGCTGCACAGCAACCTAACCTGTATTTTCACTCCTCCTGTGCTTCACTGCTGCTGGCGTAACTAGTTAGCTCGTGATTTCCTCATCCAGATTCACAGTGATATATGCAGGTGCATCTCAAGGATTTACATTATCATTGAGGAATTAATTTAATTCAGTTTATCCCATTTATTGCATGTATAATTTAGTTTTTATGGGAACACAATTTTAAAAACTGATAGGAAATGTGCAATCTTTGCAGAGAGAACTCGGTCAGGGGTCATTTTGAATGATTTTCTGCCCTAATGCAACGCAGCATGAAGGGGTGTAGTTTTGCTACGGTGTTAGTGGAGCTCCATATTAGATCATCTATCATATCTGAGGGAGTATGAAGTGCTCTTAAATTTCCTTGAAGGCGGCAAATCTGACTTTAACTTGATTAAAAACGGCAGACTGACACCAGTGAGTAACTGTGACTCAGGTTGCCGGTAATATGTTTGCATTCACCTCTCTGAGCAGCCACCAGGGATTGATTTTGTATTGAATTACTGACATAAATTAACTTTTCAATGATGGTATTTATTGGTATGCACCTTTAAAGTTTATATATACCTAATCTCTGAAGCAGCAGGCAGATGAATCTGCTTTTTGAGCTTTTTTTTTTTATATATACATATATTGAATCTTATCAGTTTTTAAGACTGCACATATTGGAGCCAGAGGAATGATGATTAAACCGTATGAAATTAAGCCCTTTTCAAACAGCCATGATGCAGTGCCAAAAAAAAACAAATTGAATAAATCGAACCATTCTAAGATTGGTGATGCAATTTGAAAGCCAAACCTTTTCAGTTACTCTCACTTTTTTTTGGAAGGATCCCTCCCGTCACAGAAATCCCACAGCGTTAAACTGGACCAGATTAAGAAGGGTTTGTTTTATACCATGCATACATGTTTACAACCCCTCCTCTGCCTTTCCTGCAGCATTGCCCTGAAATTGGTCCAGTGTTACACTGTCAACTACCCCCCATCAGAAAAGTGAAGCCTTCTAAACAAACAAAAAGATTTTAAATGTACTTTAAAGATTGAAGCACAAATATGCCACAAAAACCCCTATTTTACTTCCAAGTGCCTCAGTAATTTGAGAGCATGTGAATTTCACAGTCCACTAGTGTCTGCTGTATCTTTGACACCTTTTCAATGATGACTCTGAATTAGTTTGAACACAAATCACCTCGTTTGCAACCATTCTTTCCAAAGAAGCAATGCCTGAACCAGATGAGAGAATAAAAAAGTGCAGTCTGTTACTTTTCCACAGCAGGGCCATCCGTGCAGCCTATTAGCAAATGAGGACACATGCATGCTGAGGTAAGCTGCCAATTAGCTGGAGAGGAAGTAAGACGAGGCTCTTACTCAGCCTCCCTGGGTCTCCAACCCACGCACGTCCATGGAATAGCTCGGTTACTCAGTGGAGGATGTCTAGATGCTGTGAAATCCTGGTTTGTTTGTTTTTTCTTTTTTTTTTATGTACTTGTTTTAAATTCATTGTAATGTAATATATACTTTGTTGAATGTAGTAATTAGGTATTTATGAATATATGGCTGTGATTTCAGACAAAAAGATAATAAAATGCTTCAAAAATGTCAAACATCAAAATGTGTGGGTGTTTAAGTCTTAGATGGGAATATTGATGATTCCCACATCCTTTTATTGGAACTTTTAATATGGTTTCATTTTACTACGCTTCTTTCAAATAAAAAAAAATCCAAGACTTAGGGAGTAGAAGCAGTTTTATTGTCTTATATCAGATCAGAAATCAGAATCAGAAGATATCCTTAAACATGGCCCTATACTTACTTCAGGGTAACCCTTTAAAAAAAAAAAAAAAAAAAGTTTGAAAATTATACTCTTACTTAAATCCTATTTGTCTCCTTTGAAGGTTATGTAATATACCTGATCAATTTCAACAAAAATACATATGAAGGAAAAACTTGTACTAACTGGCAAAGTTACCATGGAAAGGTTCAGTGTTTAAACCGGGTTCAAAATCCAGCCTTTGACTAGGCCATGCCACATGGCTGGTTTGTTTAAAACTTAAGGTGACAAAAAGTTGCTGGATATTTTCTTGCAGATTAGAAACTTTTCCCCATCTTCTGTCAAAAAATAAAAAATTCTAGTCCTAAAGCAGGAAAGATCACATTTATTTAAATGCTGCAGTTCTTTACCAGATGTAAAAATGCAAACACCTTTGACAAATTCTCACTTTTGTCCTCACGCAATATATTTTCCCAAAGTTGTTTGGAATCAATCTTTTAAATGTTGACAATTTACATTCAGTCAAGTTTTAAGCCTCCCATGGATGCCAGTCGCTTACTATTAAATCACAACCATTGATTTTAAGGCGGTTATGGGCATAGCAGATCTATATACTTGGTTCTAGAATATTTAGTTTCCCCAAAGCTTCAGAAACCTCTTTCTAAACTTTTACAGACTGATAGATGTCTGTAGATTGAGGCATAATGTGTTTTTTTTCCCGTTAGCCTTCAAGTTAGAATATTCTTTTAGAGCGAATCATCCTGCAGTTGGTAAAACATTTTCACAGGACTGTAGTTGATATAATCTACGTCCAAGTGAAGAACAGCACAGAGAACAATCCAGCATAAACACAAGTACATTTATTTTTTCACATGGTAAAAACACCTTTAAATTAACACTATTATACAGAGCTGATCCTTCTGAAACAGGCGTCTCATAAATGCTGATCTTCCTCACAGAAGTTTGTTAAAATGAGAGTAGAAAACTTCCAGAAACGCAGCGCCTTATTAGTAGAAACAGGATAGTTCAAATGTTGAAGTCTTCTAAACATCATCCCGCATCCAAAGAGGCTTCAGTAGTCAGCAAACCGGCCCTTAGAGGAACCAGGCTGCAGGTTGGAGCGCAGCTTATACATGCAGTTCAGAGAGTCAAGGAGGAACTCTCTTATGGTGTTGATCTCCATCAGAGTCAGGTTGTCCAGCTGCAGAATGAATGAGACAGGACTGTGTTTATGATTTCTAAACAAAACATTAAAATGATAAACAGATATCGTTGCTTTTAAAGAAAATCCACTCAGATCCACACCTAATCGCCTCCCTCTGTGCTCACAAAACATAAGAATAAATACCTAAACGTCATTCTTCCTGGGATTTCATGTTAATAACCTTAGTTTAAAGTCAATAATCGGGCAGGGTCTCTGAAGAAATAGATGTGTTGTGAGTTTGCTTGCTTGCTTTGAGGTTTATTCCCAGCCTGTGTTACCTGAGCGTGGGCCTCCTGCTGCCTGATGAAACTGTCCGCAGACAGACGCAGTTTAGCAATCCGAGTGTCCCAGATGTCTTTCACAAGCGTTCGGATCTCATCAGCTTTAGGAATGTTGTCAGACGCGCTGCAAAGACGTACAAAAAAAAGCATAATGAGATTTGGCGTCACCCAAGGTGGATCAGAAGGTGACGTGTTCCCATGCCATGACTCACTGGTTCAGTAAGAGTTTGGTCAGCTCCATGTAATACGGACTGGGAGCGGGAGTGAAGGCCTCCTCTTTTCTCTCTAGCTCTCGCATCTCCTCCAGTTTCTCTGCATGGTGGAGGAAAGTTATTATGACAAGAAGATAACGCCAGAAGAAATACGAACTTAAATCACTGCAACTCTTTTATGCTGATAGTTGTCAATCGTTTTTATTTTCCATGGATCTCTGCTGGGTACTCCAGCTTCCTGTTTAAAGTCCAAAATCATGATTGCTTTGGATCTTTAAGTGACCCTTATGGATTCCTCTGAGGTTTTACATGTTTATAATAGTATTTCAACCTTTCAGATGAAAAACCAAACTGCTGTCAACAAAAACGATGGCAAAATATTTTTGACAAAATTAATCCTGCTGAATAGATCCTTGGTTCTGCAGTTTAGTTTTACAGGACATCCAATTTCCTGTCATCTGTTAGGATTATTATTGTTGCTGATGTGAGAGTCTGTTATACCTTAATAATAGTTTATCTAATTAGGACAGTTCAACTGTCTGGATAAAATGTCATTTTCATTATGAACATGGCAAAGATTTGGGAATGGAATGAGAGCAGTAATATTTTGATAAGGCTGGAGCCATGGAAATCTCCTCATCTGCAAACATGTATGATGTGATGATGTAGCAGACTGGAGTCGTATAAAATGCTTTTTAACTGTGATCCGGGGCAGCTTCCATGAGATGCGAGTCCAGTTGGTAAGCGCTGCCTTCTGTAACTCTAAGCAACTTCTCTGTTCAGAGTGAGATTACAATTTCTGTCAAAATCTGTTGTCCTGTCTCATGGTTATTTAATACATGTACATTAGGAATTGTTATTTAATGAGTTTTTCCCAAGTGATCTCTTCTCAGGAAATGAACCAGGGAGAGAAAACTTCAAGGTGTAAACACACAGAGCTTTCCTTAACACAGCTTATGTCTGTTTTTCTTTTATTTTAAACAATAATCACTTTGTTCATTAATTTGTAATTTAAGTGAAGCAAAAAGAGCCCTAATAATAACAGCTACCTAAATATATATAGAAAAAAATGTGCATAATCTTCCATTTTGACGACAAAAACACTTTTAACTCTAATGAATTATTAACAGCCTTGTTTCTATCGACCACCAAATTGTGGAAATTGTTATCCTCAAACCTTGCTGTAATATTCATGAAGTCTTAATAATAATAATAATAATAAGAATAAAAATAAGTTGAAAAGTGAGGGTGATGTCTTTAAGAACTTTATAGAGATTTAAATCAGGATCAACCCTTACGCAGAGGAAAACACTGACTTTTCACTGCTGAATGATTTCATTCAGTTCTGCACATTTAAACTACATGAATCCGCTGTAAAAGTAACACAGCCCATCTAAAAATAACATAATTCACCCCAAAACACAGAAAATATATAAAATGTTGGCCTCCTCTTTTAATTTGCCCACAAACTTTTTTCTCCTATTGGTGTTTTATTTCTAATGCAGACTAAAACTCTGATGCCTCTAAGTAAAATACAGTGCAGGTGCCCTGTGTGTAGTTAATGCTGATTATTACTAGAGCTGATCTGTGACGGCATTAGAGGTGTGAAGGCATCCCAAAAATGAATAATAGACCTCAGCAGGTCACAGATAAAACAAACTTTTATGAAGGTTTAAGTTTTACCACCTCATTCCAGTGGAGATCTGATGAGTCCATCATATGGGAAATGAAATGTCACAAGACAGAGCCCTGCACCCGAAATGAAGGACAGCTAAGGCTTTGACTAATCACACTTGACACAAATCCATTCTTTATGGAAGGAAGCGATTTACGACTGCAAATATGTGGAAATGTTTGTTATACTAAAACTGCATCAAAGCATCTCTGTAAGACAGTGTGATGGCAGCATTATGGTGTGGGGATTCCATCCTATTGGGCAGATTTTATGAACAGGATAGAATGGAACCCAAAAACAGGATAATACTGCAAAGTAGCGACAGGGTTGTTGTTTATGTTCCAGTGGGGTCTTCTAAGCTTATTAGATATATTCAGAACAAACTAGAAATATAGAAGCTGAGGTGGCTCACCCAATGTGCTGTCAATAAACTGCAACACATAATATCACTTCCTATTTCTAGAAATGGTAATCTAGCAAGAAGTTACCTTGGCTTTTGTTAGTGAGAAGCAGCGGATCAGATTTGAGAGTTTCTTTGGAAACAGCTCTAGTCCCACCCACTGAATTTGACAGATAGCATGAAATGCAGAGTGAAATAATAAAATGTATATTACCTTTTATTTATTATTTAATGTTATAATTAAAATTGTATTTACATTTTTATGTATTACATTTTAAAATGTAATTGCAAATCTCATTATCTAAAAATGTCTTTAGTAAATACATTTTACATTTAATAATTTAATTCTACCTTTAGTAATTGTAACATTCAAACACGCCCAACTATTTAAAAAAAAAAAAAAAAAAAATTGCATGGAATTACAGTTTGAATTTTGTCGCTCCTAAGCTTCCGTAGAGACGTCTTCAAATAATTGCAGCAGTCATTATAGAACGGGTGAGTAAAGTGAAAGGGGTCCACACGCCCCTATGTTCAGATTTGATCTGTTAAACATTTTGAAACCACAGGAGTATATGACTTAACAACAGGTAATAAGCGGGCTTTGGTAAACAGCTAACAAAATGTTGTGTTTTAAGGTGACAAAATGTGAAAATTTTGTGAAAAAAAAAAGAAAACCTACCGACATCCATCCACTCCGGGGGAAGAATCCTGCATTTCTGTCTTTGTTTTAGGTTTAAAGCCAACCACACGGGTACATCGACGGGAAGCCCGGGGTTGAAGGGGCCTAAATCTCCCTAAACACAGAAATTAACGCACAAATACAGGTTTTCCGGATCATAAAGCCTGCAGATATTAATACATTAAGCGGAACGATCTGCACAAACTTACTCCGATTAAATAGATCTTGTCCAAACTGAAGTTAGGTATTATTTTCACAAACTCCTTCTCAGCAAGAAATTCAACTTCTGAAGGATCCATAACCGCTTATTGCTGCTTTTACCGAACCTTGTTCATTGATTCCACCTCTGTCTGCCGAAAGTTCCCGCGCTGTGAGCAGGGCAAACCTTCAAA